ACGGTGGCCGGACGGTGGCCGGCGACGGACGATGGTGGCCGACGGTTGACGGTGGCCGGCGGCGGGCAGCGGCGGACAGTGGCAGGCGACAAAGAACTGTGGCGCCGGACAGAAACTGTAAAATAATTCTAGAGGGCTTGATTGATCCCTCTCACAATCTTCTATTTATAAGAATAAATTGATACACAAGTACATGATAAATAGGGTAACCCTAACACCATATAATCATGATAAATAGGGTAATCCTAGACACAATATAATCATGATAAATAGGGTAATCCTAGACACAATATAATCATGATAAATAGGGTAACCCTTGACACACTATAATGATGACTTGACACACTATAATGATGATAAAATAGGATAAATATCCTAACACATTTAACAGAGGAAATACATTTTGTGGTCCTCAGAGTTATATATCATTTCAATTTTGCTCCAATAATAGAGAATTTCAAGAAACTCATACTTTTATAAACTTTTTTTACTTAAATTTTAAATACATCTTACTTATGAGGATTTTGTTTAGCTTTATTTGGAAATTTGTGTTTTTATTCTACAAGAATCATTTCTTATACAAAAAAAAATTAAGTTGAAGAAACTGGATGTGCTGCATAGGATCTCTCCAATGACAGGTTTTTTCAGGATTTGGTTTCATGTTAAAGAACTCATTAAGAAACCACCACTAGAGATGTTCTAAGTAATTTCCTCTCCAAATGATTATGACAAAAAAATTATCTACATCTTAAACTTTTCCTCCTATCTACTGAAAGGAACGAGACAGGTTTTTTTGGCCAAACAAATATCAAAACAACATAATAATGCAAAGTTTATGTACAGTGATTTATAATCCAATCCCAACACCGTTAATACACAAAAGTAAACAACATTGACCATAATTAAAAGAAAAACTATCAACAAACTCTTAAGAATGCTAAATATTCTGATCCTCACCACTTATTTGTGGGCCTATAAGATCTTTTCCTAACGGCCAATTATCAAGATTATTGAGGAGAAAAAACAACTAATGTCATTGCATCACATAAATGCACATTACAACATGTTTACAAGGAAAGCTCGAAAATATCCTTTGCAGACTAAAGAAATAACTTTTTGATGCAGATGGATTTATTTATATACGAACAAAATGGTCATATATAGTGAATGAAAACACCTGCAAAGAACCCCCACCAAGTTCAACTATTCCAGTTGTTTCGTGAGGCTCGCGTCCCAAGTTTCCAAGAGCATAATTTACTGCAACCCAAGAAGAGATACCTTGTTCTTCCCCTACATTTAGATTATAAACTCCATCATTGACATGAATAACTTCATCTCTAACAATATCAATAGTAAGAGATATAAAGTCAGTAAAACTATTGTTTCAAAATACTATATAAGAAATTGTAGTACTAAGTCACACTGATTTATAGAATATCTGACATGGCATTGACTGTCATTATTTAGGTTGGTGTTCAGCATCAGCTCATGGCTTTTTGTTTCCTAGTTGATACTCTTTCCAGTTTTACTTTCCAGAGAACTAGAATTCATATCCAGTAAATTATCACCTTTATATGTGTGTGAGTGTGTGTGTCTGTGTATACATCCACCCAAGCACACAAGAAAGACGACAACTGTAGAGAACTAGAATCCCTTCTCCTGCAATAAATAATGCATTAGTTTGACTTGAAATTCTTCAAGAAAAAATAATTCCATGATAGAGTATTAAGATTGTATGAGAGGAGGAAGAGAAATTAATAGGATGGTTAGGCAGTTAGGGGGAATGGGTTACTGTTAGCTTTTCAGTTAACGGTTGGTCAGAATGGGGGAACCTTATGTTAAGGTTGAGAGCTATTGTAAAGGGTTAGCTTTTGATATTCTTTTGTATAGACAGGACATCTATATCCTGTGGAGGGGGAGTGCTCCCTTGATAGTGTGGTTTGTGTACATTGTATGCTTGTTTACAAAAGTAATACACATATGTTTTCTTTCTTCCGTGTGAGTGAGTGTCGTGAAGTGTTAGATTTCTTGACCAAAGAAACCTTTCATTCCACTAGAATCCCTTCTCCTTAAGCTACAAGATTATAATTCCACTATTTAACACTTACCTAAAGACATCATATGAATATTCACAACCTCACCAAAATCATAAAACTTGAACTACGTAACAAAGTAAAGAATTATTTTATTAATGAAAATCACTTCAATTACTTTCGAACTAAAGATCTTTTCTGAAGTAATTTATGGGTTTTGAAGGGGTCAATCAAAGGAAGGTCTTGTCATTTCACAAAGAAAATATGCTCTTCACATTCTAGAGGAGACCGGGTTGGAAAATTGCAAGCCAACTAATAGTCCCATGAATCCAAATCAAAAAGCTCATGGTGGACCAAGGTGACACTTTCTTAAATCCAAAAGGATACAAGAGGTTGATTGGAAAACTCATTTATCTCACTATTACAGGACCTGACATATTTTATGTTGTGGGAGTTGTTAGTCAATTCATATAGAATCCTCATATTGATCACTAGAATGTTGTAATTTGCATTCTTAGATATATCAAAAAGGTTCCGGGACAAGCAATATTGTACGAGGACAAAGACAATACTTAAATTATAGGGTATTGTGATGCAAACTAAACATGTTATCATGTTAACAAAAGATCCGTCATAGGGAGAGCAAGAAACAAAAATGTTGTTGCTCAATCCATTGTAGAAGTTGAATATAGATCTATGGCTCTAGCCACTTGTGAACTTTTGTGGGTTAAACAACTTCTTCAAGAGCTGAATTTTTTGATGTTCAGCAAATGAAGTCGTATTATGATAATTAGGCAATCATATTGCTTCTAATCTTGTGTTTCACAAAAGGAACAAACACATGGAGGTTCACTGTCATTTTATGAAGGAGAACTTGTTGTCCAAGGAACTATGTACTGGATTTGTCAGCTTTAACAACCAACTTGTAGACATTCTACTAAGACCTTGACAAGACCTAGAATCACTTCAGTTGTTTTTGGGAGTACCTAGCTCTAGGTTAGGGGACATAAGCTCAATTTGAGATGTCTTTGTACTTCCTCATTACACACTCTATTTGAGATGTCTAGTACTTCCTCATCACACTCATAGGATATAATGTGTATGAGAGGAGGAAATAGATTAAAAATTAGTTGTTAGTTGGGTTGAGTGAGACTTTCTTTATATAGTGGGGGGCGGGGTCTTTGTAGGCAGGGTATGTTTTTAGATGTTTTAGAGAATTGTTGACAGGATCATTGGCATCCTCTATGAAGGGAACATTATCCCTTGAAGGCATTCTTGCTGTTCTTGGTGCCTAGAATCAATAATACAAGATCTTCACTGTGAGTTCAAGTGTTTTGCAGTGTTTTGCAATGGTTTTCTTGGGTACCTCTATCTAGGAACCTAACAAATTGGTCCGACCTGCAGGATCAAAATGGAGAGACATGGAAGGAAGATTGAGTACAATAGAGAGATTAGCCAGCCAACATGGCCGAGCAATAAAGGATTCAAGAGAGGAATCCAGAGCCAACTACCAGGAACTTAGAGAATTGATGAAAGATATGATGTGAAAAATCAAGAACCTGGACAAAGGATCATAAGGTAGTCAGGGGTCGATTAATGGGGAAAGAAGGGAAAGAAAGGACGAGGTTGAGGAAGTGATGGAAGAAAGAGAAAATACTTTGGAGAAAGGGGCCAGCAAACAAGGAAGCGCCATGACAGGAAAAAAAAAAAAGACAGTGTGCAAGAGATAACGGAAATCATCCAAGAAATGAAAGCCATGCAGCAACTCATAAATCAGGGAAGGGGCTCAGAAGAAAGTGAGAAATTTGTCATGAAAGGAAAGAAAGAGGTAAAGACGGGTATGGATGCTAGAAAGATAGTATGCAAAACATCAAGAAAGGCAAGAAATTCTCTGAAAAGGAGAGTACTTGGCTAATGATGAAGAGAAGAAGGAAGAAGATATCCATAGAGTAGTAAACCAGATGAAGAAGGTTTTTGGAAGGCGGCAAAGGATCTTGAGCATTGTTTGGCAAGGCCAAAGAACAAGGTCAAGGGTGTTTGTTTGATTGCCTCACTGAGGGAATGTAGTGAATTTCAGATCTGGGAGGTGAAGAAGAAGTGTCATAAAGTGTGTGATGAAGATAAGCCGAGTTTTTGCAAGAAACCCGAAGTTTCATTGACAGAACTGGTTGAACTGTTACCACATCTAGGAAAAACTTCTAAAGACCATCCTGATAAGAAGAAACTCATTTCAATGCAAAATTTGTTTAGATACCCAAAGGCTGAAGGGAGGAGGTACTTCGAGGAGTTGGATAAGGATGGGGATGGCCAAATAATTCTGGAAGATCTAGAAGTAGAAATGAGAAAACGAAAGTTGTCGCGAAAATATGCTACAGCATTTTTGAGTCGTGCAAGAAGTGGTTTGAAACAATTCTTATCATTAATGGAATGAAGGAGTCAACAATTCTCTCATATCGACCACCACCCAAGCCTCCAGACCTGAATTGGCAGGCAGTAGCCAGTTGATTATCTTCCTATGCTAACATGTTGATGGATGAGCCATGGGATCAAGCTTCACTGTTCCAACCTTGAGGACAAGGTTGTTCTACAGCAATGTGTAATGATAGGATATAATGTGTATGAGAGGAGGAAACAGACTAAAAATTAGTTGTTAGTTGGGTTGTTAGGTTGAGTGAGACTTTTTTTATATAGTGTGGGGGGATCTTTGTAGGCAGGGTATGTTTTTGGATGTTTTAGAGATTGTTGACAAGATCATTGCATCCTGTGTGAAGGGAACATTGTCCCTTGTAGGCATTCTTGTTGTTCTTGGTGCCTAGAATCAATAATACAAGATCTTTACAGTGAGTTTAGGTGTCTCGCATTGGTGTTCTTGGGTTGCTCTATCTAGGAACCTAACACACACACTAGGCTCCCAATATAGGGAGTTAGGTACCAACTTGAACTATGAAAGAAAATAAAGAATTATTTTATTTATAACACTTAAAAGAGAATATATGAGGAAAAGGGCTAGAGAGATCAAATCTCACCACTAATTCAGATTCATATACTGATAGGATATAATGTGTGCAGGATAGAAGGAAACAGATTAGGAATTAGTTGTTAGTTGGGTGGTTAGGTTGAGTGAGTTTTTCTTTATATAATGGGGGGTCTTTGTAGGCAGGAAATGTTTTCGGGTTGTTTAGAGAATTGTTGACAGGATCATTACCATCCTGTGTGAAGGGGAAACCCTTGGAAGAGAGAATGCTCTCCTATTTTTGTCTTCTTTTCAGTCTATACCATACAGAATATTACTCTTCTTTATCGGTCCAATTCTGGTTTCCTAACATATACAGACACATATAAGCATTAGTTGCTTACATTAAAAGCTTAAGGAAGAGAAAGAAGACAACTCTAAAACAAAATAGGAGCAGTAGCTTTTAAACTGCAGCTTCTAAAACAAGACTGAATTTACCTTGTTTTTCAGGTTTCCCAGCTCAAGACAACAGTTGGATAGCATCTTGTGGGCATAGACCTTCTATGAGTTGTAGGGTACTGTTAGGAATAAAAGAGAGAAGTAGCATAATGTCGAACGGTAAAGCAAAGGGGAAGTGAGGCCGAACAGAACGAAAGGGAGGAAGCGAGGCCGAACGAAGTAAGAGAGGGGAAGCTAGGCCGAACGGTAAGGCAATGGTGGGAGCATAGACCTAACGTCATCAAGAAGAGAGCATGAGAAGTAGAGGCTGAACGGTAAGGCCATGGGGGAGTATAGACCGAACGGCATCAAGAAGGGAGGATGGGATCAAAGACCGAACGGTAGTTATACGCTAGTACCGAACGGTATGTAGTAGAAGTAATTTGGGTTAGCAGAAGGGTAGGGCGCAGGAAGGCGACACTATAAATAGTCTTCCTGTAACCTAATTCAGGGAGGTTATTATCTTTTGGGTAAAGACTAGACATTCTTGCCAGTGGAGGAAGGGAGGCTTCCTTGGGATACTTACTTGTAATTCTATTTTCCATAATTTACAGAGTTAATAAAATACATACTCATACATTTATCTTCTGTTAATCGAGTTTTGAGGTGAGAAGAGGGAATAGATTAGGTTATCGCTATAAAGTAACCTAACAGGTACAGAAGAAGGATACCAACTTTAAAACATCTTAGGCAATCCGGAAATTATTCAGCATGTGCAACAATTCATCAAGTTCTTGTGCATCAGCAAGGAAAATCTCCACAGAAAGCTACTTAGGAAGAATCTTCCATTATCTAAGAGCAATTTCCGGAATTTAACCTTGAGGACAAGTTTGTTTATGAGGAGGTATGTTAGGACCAAACCAGAGCAAAAACTTATAAGGGAAAAGGGTCTAAAAGTTGTATTGTAGGAGGAAAAAAAGGAGTAAAAGGGTAACAATTTAAGAGGAGGTTAGGAGAGTTAGTTCAGTTTTCCTTATAAGTAGTGTCCATGTTTAACCACAATGGTAAACCTCCCTCAGGTAGAGAGGACAACTCAGGGAAATATCATTGAAGAACTGGGCAGATTCCAGTGGAAAGCAGTACTCTCCTTTAGAGGGGTATTTGTATACCTTGGTTCTTGGTATGTAATGAGTTTTCAGTAATAGAGAGGAAATATAATTGTAATGAGTTTTCTGTGTTAATTGTTGTTTCTTGTTAGGCTTTGACATTTTCAATTCCGAAAGGGGATCCTAACAAAAATCACACGCATAAACAAAAATATTGCTTTCACTTTAGAGTTTAATTGTATAGTAAGTGCAACTGCCAACCAGAGATGACCGTATGTATGACTTCTAAAATAGAAATTATAAAAATCAGCAAACTCACCATGCCTATCATACATGGCACTCTCTAAAGCATTCTAAATAAATTCTTCACCTAATTTTTAGAAACAGTTGCTCCCTTTTCAAAAAGATATCAATGTTCTCTCTAATACGTTGAACCAAACCCCTTCTAGGTGACTAACCTGAAATTACACGTTCAACCCCAAACACAGGCTTTAGTGTTCAATCTCAATGCACTGTTAGAATTTGGAATTTACACTCCCAACCAATCAAAAGGTATCTTTACCTAAGGCGCCTAAGTATATAGTATAAAAGTTGAACCAATCCCCAACTAATTGACTAACCTAAGACTATGCATGCCCATAACCAAACAAACACTCTTGAGTTAATATAAAGAATTTTACACTCAAGCAAACAAAAATGCTATTTATTTATTACTTATAAATTACTACACTCAAATATTAGCAAAATTACCTAATTTTACCCTAATTAAGAATGTTATTTAAGTTCACTTAATGTTATTGATCTCATAAAATCACATTCCAAATCACCCTTATCACATTTTATCGGGGATAGTGTCCATATTTAACCACAATGGTATCTTTGAAATAATAACATTAAATAAGTTTGACTTATTTAAAATTTGTTTATTCAAAGCTCACTGAACATGATTATATTTCTCATATATTTCAGCCCATAGAAATTATATATTATAGAAGCCAGTCAAGCACACCTTACCTTATATATTATAGGCACCTTAAATATTAGCAATTTGTGATCAATGTGTGTGTGTATACACTAGAACTGCATCGTTAGTGCCTTCTAATTAAATTCTCACCTTTCTTTAGTTCATGGACATGTCCACCAATGTCCCACGGTTTTGGAACATACTAATATGTAAAGCCCAAAAGGAAGTAAAACTTTGTTAAGGATTGTTTTCACCAAGGACTAAACTCATACAATGTCCAAACAAATCGACCTTGGATTCACTACATTAACTGTCCAACTCCTTGCTTTATATTTTCTCAAATACATCGAACCAAACCCAAACTAACCTGAAACGACGCGTGCCCATTCATCCTTGAACAAGAACCCGGACGCCTTTAAGGCCTGTCTGCAACATTCCAGAACCTTCTCTGCTTCCTCGGAGCCGAGCTGCTCGAGCTCCTCGGAGGCCGCAAGCCGCACGACGGTGTTCCCCCACTCCCGGCGAGGCACCTTGCCCTTAGCGAACCGGACAAGCTCGGCGACGGCGCCACGGAGCGCGTCGGGCGGGGCAGCGAAGCCGGGAGCGGCGGCGGCGGAATGAGCGGCGGCGAGGAGGCCGAGGCCGGGGCCAAGAAAGTGGTAGACGGAGAGGCGGAGAGCGTCGGGGCCGGCGCGGAAAGCGAGGGCGAAGGAGACAGGGCGAGAATCGGCGAATTTGGGGGAGGAGTGGATTTGGAGGGCGGTGGAGAAGAGGTAGAAGAGAAAGGGAGCGGTGAAGAAGAGGAAGGCGAAGAGGAAGAGAAGGCATTTTCCGGTGTGGGGTTTGTTGGGATTTGGATTTGTGTGACTGGAAGAAGAAGTATAGAGGGAGATCATGCGAGGGTGCAGCTGGGTACGGTGGGGTGGAATGTAGGAAGGAGGAGAGGAAGGGGAGGAGGGAGAATAAGGAGAAGAATGGCGAGGGCTTTTTGGGAAACTCATTGACGGTTGTTGCTCGGAGAAAGCAGTGGCGCTTTGGAATGGGATTGTGCAGAGTGCGGTGTTGGGAACGAACTGCAATGCAATGGCTTAGGAGGAGGTTGAGAAGTTTTGAGCTTCAGAACATGTGAAGGTTGATTGAATGGATTTGTAACGACTTTCAAAGTAATACTAATTTAATTTTATAATAACTATAATTAAATTTAAATATGTTTCTACACAGTAGAAAATTTTGAAAAATCCTTTTATAGAGAGTAACCGAATCGTATCAAATAATAAAACTGGTAAGATCAAGTATAGTTCTTTCAAAAAATTTAGGCCTAGACAGTTATGAGATTTATTGATTATCTAAGACTTGTAGAACCAATTCTTGTAAGTTTTAAATGCAAAATACTGAAAAGTAAATATGAATGCATGTATTGATCAATGACAAGAAGAAACAGAACACGTGATTTGAAATATATGAATGAATATGTTGTTGGGGTTTATCAATTTCATCCTATCCACTCTCATGTAATCAAGAATTCATTTTCTTTATTAATTGCTAATGTCACTTTCTAAATTATCTTAAACCTGATGTCTCGGCGAAAAAAGCCTAATCATAATTACTAGTTTACAATGTCTTGTCTCCCTATCAATTACTCATGCATTACACAGCACAGAAGCTTAAAGGCAACCAACCATCATACTCCTATATCTAGGTTTATACTACTATGGGGAGAGATTCCCCAAATCTAGATTTTCCCGTATGTGTCCATATCGACAAAATCAATAATCATGACATCAAATGAGTTAAACAATGTATGCTTTGAGCAAAGAGGAAAAACTCTAACAATTAATGAAAGAAAGCATGTATCTTGAAAAGATCTTGAAGAACAAATTCAATACATGAGAGTTTCAAAGGATTACATTGATTCCCCAACAAAAATAAAGGTTTAGTTCACCATATTCATGGTGAAACTAGGTGAAATACAATGAAAGAGTGAAAGATAAAACCCTAGAAAGGTGAGAAAGGAGTTGTAGCATCCAAAATCCTCCTCCAAGGGGTGAAAGAGTGTGTTTCTGCTTCGTCCCAGCCAAAGATGACTGACCTAGGTTAACTAAAACCTTATATAGTATTCTAAAAATTATAGAAAAGTTAGCCTTAGCCCATCAGAATGCCGCTCAGCGGTAATTGCATGTCCTCTATTCCACCCCTCAGCTGCAGTTCTGTCCCTCAGCGGTGTCAACGAGTCTTGAAGAACACCGCTCAGCGGTAATTTCCGTTGAGCGGCACTTGGTTCTTCTCTTCTTGTGCACTTTTTGTGTCCTTTTCTGATTCCATCTCTTTCCTACTTCTCTTATTTCATCAAATTCACCTTAAAATCTGCAAAAACAAGGAAATCAAGCATAAAACATGTCCAACTCTCTTATTTCCAAAAACATAAGCAAAAGCATGATTCCAAGCTAGTTTTTAAGTCATAAAGGTTGTTTATGATATCAATTTTAAGTATAAAAGTAACAGTTTTTCAACTGTTATCACAACCCCAAACTTAGAACTTTGATTGTCCTCAAGCAAACAAAATGTAGCTCAATTTTCTACCAATCCATACAATGGTTCACCATATTCAAAATTTCTTCTTCAAGGACAAGTAAATACTCAAATTAGCTCTTCACAAAGACTTCAATCAAGATGTGCACATGCTTTAGTGTTCACTCAATCACATAATATCCAACAATTGTTATTTTCATGAATGACCAATCAACTAAGCATAGATCTTCCTATATGTTCATGGAATCTTTCCTCACTAGATAAAGTGTTTCACTCAAACACAAAAGTGTATAAGAGGCACTCACTCGTCCACTCTACTATCACAATGTCACATGAATTAACTTTGCCTTTCATTTAACCACAATCAAAAATAATCACAAGCAAACATCATCACAAGGACTTATCTAAGGCTTATAATGTGGCTGGCTAACAAGAAAATTGGTTTTTCTGAATAACAAAACCCTTGAGTTAAGAGAATCATCTAAACACAACCATTCTTAATTATTCCAAACTTTCTTTTGCATTGAGCTTTTCTTTTCCTTTTTCTTTTGCTTTTCACATGCTTAACTTTTAGATCAATGCTTTTTATTTTCCATTTCTAAACTTCACAACAACCCCAAACTTGAACATTTATCAATACCACAAAATGTTTTCAACATAACTCAAGGTAAAGCTTTTTAAAGAGGGATTTCTATCTTGTTCAAGGTTACGGGTTCAAAGGATAGAACACATAGTGTTCTCTTTTGATTGGGTTAAAATCATACATTTGGCTAACAAAAGGGTTACCAACAAATGGCCTTGATCATATGATGCAAACAAGCAAATAATTCAACATAGAAAACCTGGGCAAAGTCATTCATGCTTTCACTAGTGCAGAAAGGACT